TAACAGAAAAGAGGGATGGAACCCACACTGGACCCCCCGTGTGACTGGATGGGATGAGAGTGGACAAGGATGAGGGAGAGGACATCATCAATCTCAGGACCTGCATGCAGCTCAATGAAGGATGGGGAAAGACAAAAGAAGGTGGGGGTGGGGAAAGACAAAACTCCTGGTTCCCTCCCTACTACCAAATGTGTAACTTGCCACACAAGCGCATGGCACATGGAATCCCCTGTTCCAGTCAGTCTGACCTAGCATGGAAATGTTCTCTTCTTCCCATTTCCCCATTGCTGAGCACTTTTTGGGGCCCTAGAAAAATGACAGCACTTGATCCTGGGAGTCACTTTTCCTTATGTGCCTGACTGCTGGGATCCTTGGCTGGCTTGTGCCAGCCACATTTTTACTGAGACATGGGTCTAGGGTAAGGCTGGGGTGAGCGCTGTGGATATGTGAGGCAGAGGAACTGCCTGGCCCAGAACTTGGGCTAATACCTGTCTGCCTTACTGTCTTGTAAGAAGCCAGCAGTCACACAGTATGAGCCAAAGAGCCCTGGTGGAGGGAAGCAGAGCTAACTCATGGGGATCTCCTATGGTAGAGGCCCTGACTCATGGCCAGAACAGCAGGGAGGCTATTGGGACAGAAGTTCCAGCTCTCCAGTTGCAAGGGGAGGGGCCTCTTAGGGAGCCAACTTTCATGAAAGGTAGGATGGGAGAAAAGGCATTTCTCTCCTAACTTGGACCTAAGTGGGATCCCCTATCTTCCTTTCTGCCTCAACCCATCTTCTCTGGGCAGTTCCATCTCTCCATTTTTCTACTTCTTTCCCTACCACAGTGTAATGTTTAAATGTGAGAATGTGGTCCTTGTGGTGCTTTACATACCAGAAACGCGAGGACATGCATGGTGAAGACCCTCCCAGCTCTGGCACCGTGAACCACTACTCACTGTTGAGCCATTCCCTGTGTAAGTGTACCTGTTCTCCGCCTGCACTGCTGTACCTGTGACCACACACTTCAGTCTTCAGGGCCCCACTCAGAGGTCACTTCCTCCTTGAAAACTTTTCTCATTTCCCCAGTAGGGAATGGCCTGCCCTCCCTTTCCACTTCAAGGCACCACCCTTACAATACTGTCATAGACCTTAAAATGTCCTACCATACAGAGGAGTCACAGTTTACCTTTTTTGTGTTGTTTTTTTGAGACAGGATTTCCCTATTTAATTCTCAAACTCCTGGCAATTTTCTTGCCTCAGGCTCTTGAATGCTGGATGACAAGCATGTACCACTATGCCTAGGTACATTTTACTCCTTAAACTGCTGAAAAACATCATTCATCAAAGTACCTTCTAGTAACATGTCTTATGCACAGGAGATCCTCAACAAATGTTTGGAATGAGAAAACTGTTTTATCATGTGTATGTATCCCAGAGGGCACCAAAAGTGCCTAAAGTGAACTTGTTCATTCCAAATGGGCTCCTGCTTACCATGTCTGAGCTTCCAAACAAGAATTGGTGTGTGGTACACCCTGTAACCCTAGCATTATGAGAAGCTGAGGTAGGACTATCGCAAGTTTGAGTGCAGAGTAGGCAATTTAGTGAAATCTTGTTTCAAAATAACGAACAGGCCAGGATTATAGCTCACAGCAAAGGTTTAATCCCTAGTACTGCACTCACCAAATCAACACTCAAAACACAAAAATGTAAGTTCTGCCTTCTGATCCAGTGTTCTCTGACTAGGACCTCAGCCTTCCAAGAGTTCCTTGAAACATATCTCCACTTCTAACCAGAACTTTCTCTGCTTATATGTAGCTCCATTTTCTTTTGGGGGCTCCTTTACCTGAAAGTCTGTTTTGCCTCTATTATGATGCCCAAAGAAACCACTTTTGAAGATTTGGTTTATTTCTCCCACTCATTTTAAAAAGAGAATTATCAAAGGATTGGTAAAATTGAAGGCTCCCTCCCCAGTCCTTTCTCCTGGGCTGCACAGATCCACAAACCTTTTAGCTCTGGGATCAGTTGCTTAGTGGCTGTGCACAGGGGCCCATTGCAGTCAGCCCTCTGCTGACGCCTCAGGCATCTGGGGTAAAAGTGTGACTCAAATGAGTGTATGGGGGTGGGGTAACACAAGTGTTTTCCTATCAGAGCCTGGTGATAGTTTATAGCTCTGTGAATATACTAAAAACCACTGATTTGGGGCTAGGGATGTAGTTCAGTATAGAACACTGCCTAACATCGGTGAGGCTTGGGGTTCAGTCTTCAGCACTGAAAAAACATTACTGCATTGTATATTTTGAAAGAATTTTATGGTATACGAATCTCAATAAGGTTTTGTTGTTGTTAGCATTTAAGTGAAGAGTGGCTAGAAGGCCCTGGTAGTAAAGACAAGAGCTAGATGCTGTGTGGGCCAGGACTTAAGAGACACAGATCAGTACCAGCTAAGTCACCGGGGTGGGAAGGGAGTGGGGGAATGCGGTGGCCATAACCCTTGCCTCCCAGCCACAAGTTAGGGAAGATACCAGAAGCTCAGATTGGGATGTGATCCGTGGGGCCCAGCTCAGGTGCAACTGCTGGAACTAAGGCGAGAGCAGCAGTGACGTTCAAGGCCCAGGGGGTGGGTTAAGTCCTCTCATGATGGACAGTGTGATAGGATTTTCGGCGCAGTAAAAGTAAGAGAATATAAAGTAAAAGTGGCCTTTATTTTAAGGACGCGGAGAGAAACTCCATGACAGCCGGGGGGGCTTTCTCTGCCGGACACGTGGTGTGGGGCATACATATGGCTTTGGTCTGGGGTGGTGCCTAAAGGGGCAGGGCTGATGCGCAAGCAGCCGATTGGAATTCATTTGGTACCATAGGTAAATTGCCTGGGGCGGGGACAATGACCTCAAGGTAGGTGTCCCTTGGTCCTGCCTGTCACTGCTGTAGTGTCCTGTCTAGGGCAAAATCCTTTCACAGTGCTTCTCATTTCTTCTACATTTCCTTTCTGAGTGTAGATTCTGCCAGCAAGATGCATACCGGAAGATCTTGTGACTGCCCCCAGAGAGATGCTGACTCTCAGCTCTGGGGAACTGTGTGGGCAGGGAAGGGCTGAGCTGAGGAGGACAGCAGTGGCCACTGAGCCGCCTCTCCTGTTTTCTCGTGGTTCCTGCAGTCCCAAATTCCAGCTGGGACTATAGACTACTTTCCCTCACAGTAAGGAGCTATGCTTGGCGCCCAACCTGAAGTGCTGGCAAAGAGGTAGAAAGCACAGAGTGGAGAACAAGCTCTTTGAGAGGGTCTTGCTATGCAATTCAGGCTGGTTTTGAGTTTCTGTTACCACCAAATGGAAACCTAGATAGCTGGGTCCCTCCCTAACAGGGGTCCAGAAAAAATGGGAGCAGGAGCTTGAAGTTAGGAGCAGATGGGAGCTGTGGGAAGGACAAATGAGGGCACTGGCAGGTAAGAGACCTCATGTCCTGGCTCCCCACTCTGATGCACATCAATCTGGGCTCACTTCTACCCCAGGTAGCCTCCAGGGCTACCTTGTCACAGAGAAGTGGGGGGTGTGGCTCAAGTGGGGAACTCTGTCTTACCACCCTGGCTTCCACTGTCCCACTCCTCAGTGTCTACCTTGTCCCCTATTTTTTAAGCCGCTGTCCTCTGTCCTAGGAAGAGTTTCCTTTGCAGGGCCCATGATTCTGGAGTTCTCCCTTCACCCTTTCCCAAAAAGAAAGCCAGGTCGGGCCTGGAGAAGAGAACTAGAACATAACGGAGCTCTAGGCTTGGCTCTGGCCATTGAAGGCTGCAGTCAAACTGCTAGCATCACCTGAGCCTGCTGCACCCCACACTACTTACCTGCCCTTCCCCCATCTGTCACCTCACCTCTGGGGCTGTGTCTGCTACAACCAGACTGCCAAGCCTCCTCGGCCTGGGGCAGAGGCCGTATTGGCACCTGTGTTCCCTTTTAATTCTATACACATTCTCTCTAAGCCAAGCAGGGAAGGGCATGGCAAACACAGTAATTCATATAATAGGAAAAAGATACATGGGAAAGTCCGATTCCTAAGGCTAAGGGTTTTATTAGCTATCTTTTCTGGGTCACAAACCTCTAAAGCCCAGTTACTGATTGATGGCCTGGGGAAAGCCTTGGGCCAGCCTCTGACACTCTGCACACTTATCCTTGCTTATCCTTCTCCATTGCCCTCGAATCCTCTGCACCTGTGGGAGAGTGTGCAGAAGGGCCCTGTGGAGAAGCAACCCTGCACAGTGGACAGCACTCAGATTTAACTATCCAGCGTTCATTCTGACTTCTAGAGTTGTTGACCTCCTTAAGGCACTTGCTGCCTTCTCTCTGGTCATCTGAATTTCTGCTTGTCTTGATTCCCCTGTCAGGTCAAAGACAAAAAGACAGACAGGCTCTTTCAACCTCACTGTTAAGAGTTAAATCACTAAGGAGCCAGACCTGTTTTTCTGCTTAGTCTTAAACAATGATTAAGAACAGAGAAAAAAAGAGGTGCCTAACAGAAACATGCAACTGGGAGTCTTAGGCTGGAAACTATTTTTGAGCTTGGGATAGACTAGAAGCCACCCATGATGTCTAGTCTTGCTGTTCTCAAATGACTTTGCCCGCAGGAAGAGGGGTTTGTTTAGACATCCATCATAGTACCTGGTCTCAAGGTCCTGGAGGACCCCCCACCACACATACATACTCCTTTGCTCCAAGACTTTTGTCCCTTTCCCAGCTTCTGTAAAGACAGACCCCAGATCCAATGTAGGCTGATGCTTCAGTTGCTTCTCTAACTGAGTTAACACCTGTTTCTCCAGACAGTGTTCACTGGTCTTCCTTGCTGCCTACTGGGAACTGAACGGAAACTCTGCCTTTAATGTCTTATGGGAAGGAAATGTGGATGTAGGCCTTTCCCCAGGTTGATTACTTGCCTTGGGTTGGTACAACAGAGGGCAATGGCTTGTGGAATGTAGTTTATATTACACAAACAACAGTGACAAAACAATATTTACACTGTAAGCAACAGACTCTGATGTCTTCTAGTTTATTTTAAAAAATGCTGGCCACAGCCACTGAAGGATTACAACTCCAAAGCACTGATTTGGAGCACAGAATCAAGAGCAAAAAGCTCCAGGTGGTAGTGCACACCTGTAATCCTAGCACTCTGGAGGCTGAGGCAGGAGGATCCCAAGTCTGAGCCCAGCCTGGGCAATTTAGACTTAGCGAAACCCTGTTTCAAAATAAAAAAAGACCCTGAGTTTAATCTCCAAAATGGCAAACACACACACACACACACACACACACACACACACACACACACGACATAAATAGCCCATCATATAATTCTGATTATGATCTGGAAGATAAACCTGCATCAAATTGTAAATGACAATGGTCTTACCCAATAAGGTGTTCTGGGAAAGAGGAAGGCGGGAATGTGGGAGAAAGTCCTGCAGGCTGTGCAATACTTGAGAACATGGCAGGGCTGAGGCATAGCTCAGTGGTAGATGCTTGCCTAGCATGTGCAAGGCCCTGGGTTCTCTCCTTAGCACTGGAGCAAAACAGGACAGGGGGTGAGGAATATGGCAAAACATGAAAGCACTGATCATACTGCTTTAACCAATAAAAAAAAAATCATCTCAGTGTTGTCAGGCACTCAAGATCAAGCTGTAAAACATCCTGGAAGACCTTCTTAAACAAAAGGATTTGCTGATCTTGTGGCGATTACTACCGTCATTTATCTGGAGCAGTACCATGAAAGGTGAAGCTTAGGATGTGATGGAGGTTCTACCTCCACAGCTTTCTTGGGTCCAAAGACTGGTCTCCTTTTGGGTGTTACAGCTGTGCAAAACATTTGTTGTCCATTCTCAGACACAAGTCTGTTTTCTGCAGTGAGAGCAGGGAGCTTTGAGGGGAGGCAGGGGTATGCCAGGTGATTCAGAACAAGGCCAGCTGACTGAGTCCATGAGGAAATGGGCAGAAGGTTACCTTATCTCTTCTTCATCAGAAAGAGACAAGCTGGGCATGGTGGCAGATGCCTGTAATTCCAGCACTTGGGGAGCTGAAGCAGGAACATGAGTCTGGTGTAACCAGGTTCTAAGCCTGTGTGGACTACTCCAAGTGAGCCCCCACTTCCCCATAGGAGATCGTGGCTGCTTGGCAGGTAAGGGAGGCAGACAAAAAAATTTAAAATGATCAATATGCCACATGCATAATACCAATTCTCCAAAATGAATGTAGTCATTATGTATTTCATATATACACACTGTTTAAAAATATCAAGAGGCTTCTAGGTCACAGTCAGCCTAGCATCACTGCACCTTCCATGCAAATATCCACTTCTGTTCCTCTATAAGTGCATTCTGTCTCCTGCCAACACTGTGGACACCTTTGGGCTGAGGGTTCAGACCAAGTCCAGCTAGGTAGGGTCCTGGGCGTTGGAGGAGGGGCTCTGTAGTGGCTGGTCTGGATGGTAGAGGATCTGGTGAAGCAGGGTGCGAGCTGCACAGAGGTCATCAGGATCTGAGGACAGAAAGGGGACAGGTGAAAGGCTGTGGGTTCCTACATGCCTGGCCTCTGGCTTTCCCAGGACTCACCCACACCCAGCTCCTGCAGCAGGCTACGGTACTCGGGCTCAGCCTCTAGTAGCTTCAGCAGATTGCTAGATTCCATCCGCTCCAGCTGCACCTCCCAGTACACATAGATCTTCTGGTTGAAGGTGACATACACGAGGCAGGGGCTGTTGCGGCCCTCTTTGCAGGCATACAGGCCTGGGAGACAGGGACAACGAGACAGAGGTCAAGCTTGAGTTCCAGTGACTGGGGGAAGAACAAGACCCAGGTATCAGAGTCAAAATGCTGAGCAACAAACAATGGTATACTGTCTATTTCTTCTCTGTGGAAACTCAGTAAAATAGGTTAAAAACATGGAAAAATTGTAGAAAACTAGAACAGCATCCGAAAAGGTGCTACTTTTTTTTTTTTTTTCCACTCTAGAGAGATCTTTGGAGTCTTCAGGGGCAACCCTACCAGTCCAAAGGGCAGGCCAGCGAAATGTGACCAGGAAGAGAGGGTTCTCTTAGGTTCACACACTTTTTTCAAGGCAATGTATGTCAGCTTTTTCAGGTCATTGGTGTATGTCTTTCAAGGGCTATGGTGAACCATGCCTGTAATCCCAGTACTCAGGAGACTGAGGCAGGAGGATCAGCTGGAGTACTAGGGCAGCCTGGAATATATAAAGTGAGTTGAAGGCCAACTTGAACTACACTGAAACCCTGTCTCAGAAAAGCCTAAAACAAAACAAAACAAACAAACAAATGCAAAAAACTATCGAGACGGTCACAGGACATCTGCCCATCACTTGCTGATGAAGGAGCTTGTCATGGGTGACTGTGTTAACCTGAGAAGTTTACTTAAAAGAAGTGTAAATTGGCTCAGCAATTCTACACCCTAGGATATGGAAGATCCACCTTAGGGTGGCTCATTGCCTGGGTGCTATGAAGGGGAAAGGAGGAAGGATCGATCTGCTTTCTGATCTTTGGAGAAGCTCCAGTCTTCCCCTTCATCTTGGACATAATCTCCTGGTTTCCAGCACAGACTCTTTGGCTTCCATTGCGGATCCTTCAGCCTTCCAGCAAAGACCCTTCAGCCTTCCTACTGGCCTTCTGATATGGACTGACACAGGAAACTGCAGCGAGCGCTAGACTGAACACTGAATGCTTCAGTCTCCAGTGCAGACACCCTCTGCACGCTTCCTCATCTGATTATATGGGTGGCCATTGTAAGCTGAGCTGGTAACTTTGCATACATTTGTGTATCTTGTGTTATATCTATTTCTCTAGTAAAACACTGACTTGATACTGAATTAAAGAACTCATTTATCGGGGTTGGGGATTTAGCTCAGTGGCATAAGTGCCTGCCTTGAAAGTAGGCAGTCGTGAGTCCGATCCCTGGTACCGATAAAAACGAAAAAGACAAAATATATATATAAAAGAACTCATTTATCTATGAAGACTTCCATTTGTGGTTATGTCCACCGAGAATGGAAATGAGCACCTCTCATGTCACTGTCTAATGTAAGTGTGCCCAGAGAGGAGGCTGGGGTGGGGGTGGGGCGTGAGGTCCCACCTGCACAGAAGGCACGGATATTTTCATCCACTTGGAAGCGGACAACGGTACGGTTGTGATCAATAATATATGTCTGTCCATCCCAGGCACATGCGACCACCTCTTCATGTCCATTACCCTGAAAAAGGCCAGAGACAAGAAGGCAGGAGTGTCCTGCAGTCCTTTAGCAAGACATCTAATGGTGGAGGCTGGAAGAACAATAAAGAACAGTGAACTTGACTCTGGATAGCAGACGGTGAGCTGGGAAAGAACTGTGACCATCCAACAGAGTAGTCAAATGAGCCACCTTTCATAATGCCACGGAACAGGCAGCGTTGTTCACAACTTCATTCTGAGGCAATTCAGCTCCAAGCTTTCAGTTTATTGATAGCAAGTCAAGCCATTCATGGTGACTAGGATAGGGAAAGCAGGGTCCTGCCCCTGACACCCTGGACCCAATCCCTGCTCTCCATATCTCAGGCACCATGAATGACATGAGAGGTGCTACAGAAACGTTCAGAGGAACGTAAGTGGCTAAATACAGAATCATTTCTGTACAGAATGCACGAATGAATGCTTGGTCCACCCATCCCCACGTACCGTGACATCTAATTTCTCCAGGGCAAAGAGCTGGTGATCCACCTGCACTGACCACAACAGCTTGTCTGCTTCCTCCATAAGCTTCAGTGTCCCTGTGAGGGGACAGGTGGCCCAGTGTGGATGAGGTGGGTTGTGAGAAGACCCCCATGGGCAGAGCCCTCTGCTCTGCCCAATCTAGCTATGCTTACCATCCAGGGTGCAGAGGGCAAAGAGGCCAGAGTTACCTCTCTCAGGGTTGTGGCCTGCAGGTGGAATGGAACAATGTGAAGGGCAGAGAAGCAAGACCTGTTTCTAGAAGAAGGCAGCCACCCTCAGGGATGGAAGGACAATCTACTAGCAAGGTCAGAGCCCCGGATCTCTCTCCTTCAAACCACGCTTTCCCTCAGCTCACTCCCTCCCACCCCACTTTCACCTTGTTTGATGTTGCCTATCAGGTGAGTGGAGACGTTCTTGTTGTGGATACGGCCAGATGTCTGATGTAGCACTACGTCTCGCGCAGCTGAGGTCTCTCTGTGAAGAGGTGGGAGGTGGGCCAAGTGGGTCCATGTGAGCTGAGCTCTCTGGGCCCTTGTGGGCTGCTATACCCATTAAGAGCAAGGAAGATCGATCGACTTTCCAGACAAAAACCTTGAGCGTCTTTTAGATGCTGCAAAGTTAAAGCTCAGGATTCCCTGAGTCCCTGAATAATCTTGTGCAACAGGAGATGAAGGAGGTCCATCTTACTATTATGTGCCCTCCGGAAGCCTGCTTTGCTTCTTTGTGCCCCACACGCTATGTAGTCTTTTTTTTTTTTTTTTTCCTTTTTATCGGTACCGGGGATCGAACTCACGACTGCCTGCTTGCAAGGCAGGCGCTTATGCCGCTGAGCTAAATCCCCAGCCCCACGCTATGTAGTCTTGAACTCCCTTACCTACCGCCCTCCACGGCCTCCTCAGAGGCAGGGGAGGATTCAGTGTCCTTGTTCCAGGTGCACAGAAGAACTGCATATGCACAGCCTGGCTGAGATACCATCAGTTCAGGAACACCCAGCGGTCCCAGTGTCACTGAGAGACTGTCCACCTGCATTAGGGAACGGGGTTCGGTGTGGATAGAGTAAGAAGGAGGGGTGAGGGCCATCAGAAAGGGGATTTGGTGGGGCAGGGTTCCTGAGAATAGCTCTCCAGTTCTGGCGGTGCAGGAGTAAGGACTGTGGAGCCTGGAGAATCCTCCCCTCCCGCTCCCCACTATTAGTGTCCCACTGGGTCTTAATCCTCATCGGTCCATACTATACCTACTGTATACTCCTACTTCTCAGCCCAGTGCTCCTCCTTCTTTACCTGTTACTAGAATTTCTGTGAAGATCCTGACTGGCGATGAGTCTCTTTGGATCTTTCTCAGCAAGTGATTTTCCCTTCTTCCGCTCTGGACCCTGTCCCATGATTGTTCTCCACAAGCACCCTCCAGAAGGCCTTTCTCCCTGATCACTGGGCTCCTGGGTTGCCTCATCAGCCTCTCACCTGGCCCTCCAGCATCCATTTCTTGAGGGATACCAGCTGTCCGGTCAGGTGTCCAGTGCCCTCAGACAGCTCTTCCCAGCGGAAGGCACGTACCACACGGTCTGTGTGTCCTACCACCAGTTCATAACGCCCATCTCCATCTGTGGGAACAGAGAACAAACTGCATTTGGAGGCAAATCTGTGCTGGTCATCTTGCGGACCACAAGTATCTTCCTCGCCTCTGCCACTGTCATTGCTACTGGCACTTTTTACCCAGTACAACAGCATGTCCAGTCTTCATGGTACTCATCCTCTCCGTAGCTGCTGCCTGCCCCAACCTTTCCTTGTGCCCGTGCAGCTCACCATCCCCCTCTCCTACAGGCCTCACTGCTTGTACTCTCTTCCTTATTCGTACATGGTCCTGATTCATCCCATACATCTCCACCACATTCAGCCAGCTTCTGGTTAAAACAGCAGTCCTGTGTCTGCAAGCTCATTCTCTTGACTCTTTCTGCCAGACGTTACCTACTCAGCAAGGACATCCTTGACAAATCCACTTAAAATTGCTACTTCTACCTTGATAATGCCGGAGTACTTTCTATGACTTATTTTTCTCTGTAGCATTTATTACCTTCCAACTTAGTATTTATTTTCTGCTGTGCTGAAGATGTATTCCAGGGCTTCATGCATGCTAGAGAACTGTTCTACAACTGAGCTACAGCCCCAGCACAACTATTTAATTTTCTCACAAAATGGTTTTTTTCCTGTTTTTTGGTAGTCAAGTCTAAGAGGGACAGTTATTTTTGTTGATTTCATTCATTATTGTAATTCCAGTGCCTAGAACAATGCCTGGGTTACAATGAGAGCTCAGTAAACCCACAATAAATACATGACACATGTGCAAAAGAATACCAGACCCCCCCTCCCATCCTTGAGATCTGTCCTAATGCCCACTGAATGTGGCCCTGGTTCTCTGCAAAGGCAGCCATGCGCACCGATGTCGCTGATCAGCATGACCTTGGTGTTGGCTGGGATGTGCTGCTTGAAGACTGGACGCTGCTCCTCTCCCACTAGTGTCTCGTGGTGCCCCGAGGCATCCAGCACTTTAGCAGGAGTCAGGTCAAACAAATGAAACCAGCCTTCAGCGCTCACTGCTACCACCAGGTTCTAGGAAAAAGAGAGGTACAGGAGAGACAGACTGGGCAGGAAAGGGAGCTCGGGGTACAAGGCTGATAATTAGATCTCAGGGGTCAAGGCTGGCTCCCACTGGCAAATGGAGGGGAGAAGGCCAAGGAATTTTATCAAAGCCCAAGATTCCCTACAGTCCCTACCTTTCCTTTATTGCACACATCTCCAACCCCAACACAAGTCAACTGCAAGAGAGAAAGGGAGGCTCAGGGAAGCAGCAGGGAGCAAAGTCCTCTCTAATCTCTGCAAAGCAAGATGGAGTAGGTTTCCTAGTTAGCATGCTTTGCTGAAAACTTACGCCATGCGACCTACATTGATAGTCTTTACCAATTCATTGTGCTATGGATTTGGTTTACCCAGACAGCAATATGAAAACCTGAGGTAGGTGAGATAATTTGAGCTTAAAACAAAGTAAAACAAAACCTTTCATCTTACATAGCTAGACTTTCGTATTTCTAGACTTATCTAATTACTACTCCCATTTTTAACCATCCAATCATACATTCCGTAACAGTGCTTCATCAACAACAAACCACATGTATGATGGTACACCTGTTAGATTCCATCACCTAGTCCTTAGTAGTTATCTTAGTTTGTACATATACTCTATGATGTTTACACAGTGACGAAAGAGCCTAACTGTATTTCTCAGAACATAAAGCACACCCAGCCTTGTATGCAAAGCTAAGGCAGAGGAGATGTGAGCTTGGCTTGTCTCAAATAAATCCCAAGCAGGGCTGCTCTGAGCAGCTGGCAGGTCAGGATAAACTGGAGAGCTCCGCAGCTTCACAGCTCCTGCACCAAACGGTTCCTTTCCCCACCTTCCCCCCAAGACCCAGGGAGGTGAATACTAACCATCCCCTGGCAGGTGCAGGTGAGCCACGGCCGGCTGTCATCGTTCTTATACACAGACAGCTTTCCACTGGTGTCTCCCACAACCAGTTCATTTAACTTCAAAGGGAGAGAGATGAGTGTTAGTGAAACAGCTTATTTTATATAAACCTAAGCCATCTGTCTCATGTGGTTGAAGAATAAAACCATGGACAAATGGAAGTTAGAGGAGTGTTTATTAAAAGGCTCCAGAGGGCACAGAAGTCTTAAGTCTTGGCTTTATACGCATAAGCAGGGGATGGGGGACTTATTTTAAGCAGGTGGCTTTGTGGGTTTAGGGTTTAAAGGAAACTATTTATCTGGTATACAGGAAACTCAGTTCAAGGGAAACTGGTTATTCTGCATTTCTAAGATTTCCCAAATCCAGCCCAGAGATTAGGGAGGAGCTGTCAGCTAAATTAGCATATCTTCAGCTTGGAAAGAAAGGTCCTTATCTCCTTTTTTATTGTAACTTTTACTCTTGTTCTCTAATCTTTTATGTTTCTAAACTGGACCAGTTGCTTGATTAACTAGCTGCTTTAATTAGTTCTTTTTGCATTTCTAGGCTGTTCTCAATGCCTACTCAAGACAACTAAACTGTACTACATCAGGAGAGGGCTCACCCTTTCCTTGGGAAATGACATGATTTCGAACTGCATCTGCATTAACTTTTTTTTGGTACTGGGAATTAAACTCAGGACTTTGCGCTTGCTAGGCAGGCACTTGCGCTGCTGAGCTATATCCCTAGACCTTCATTAACTTTTTATTAAAAATCTTTGAGACTTGCTTGGCTTGAAGCTCAGTGGTACAATGGTTGCCTAGCATGCATAAGGCCCTGGTTCCACCCCAGCACCCTTCAATTATTTTGGGGGGGTGGTTGGGGGTCTATGTGAACAACACAGTTTCTCGGATTTTAAATTTTTAGAGGGGTGTGTGTGTGTGTGTGTGTGCTGGGGGCAGAAGAAGTTAGAGGACTAGATGATCTGATTCATCCCAGAAAATATGATCTGATGCATCCCAGTAAAGTCCAACTCCTAAACAGCTCTCTGCCCTAAATGCCTGACTTCAGCTCTTCTAATTTGTAGATTACCAATGGGATACATTTTGAAAGCAATCCAAAATACTGAAACATCTAATTTCAGACCTCCTGTTATCCAGGACCAAATAAAAAGACAAGGGCAGCTTCTGAGGCCCTGTCTCCTCTAGCAGGCCTGTAAAACCGCAGGTGTGTTTAACAATGAGGGATGGTGGTGCCTGAGGGATAAAGCCTTAAGGCATCCATGAGGTCAACATTGCTGCTTTGGGCCTGTGGTACCCTCAAGTGGTGGCCAGGCTCCGAGGAGGGCAATCGATATATGCTCTAAAAAGCCTCTCTACCACTGCTACCTGGAGAGTCACCTAGAGATTGAGCATGATAACCAAGTAGAACCAAACCCTATTATTACAAATAGTTTTTTCCTTGCTGGGGATTTAGCTCAGTGGAGTAAACACCCACCTGGCCAAGCACAGGGTTAAGAGCTTGATCCCTGGTACAAAAAAACAAACAAACAAAGAAACCCAAATAGTTTTTTCCTTTTACTTTTGTTCTTGTAAACTGCTGGCTCTTAAACATATAAAATGAGGGTTAGTAGGCTTAGATGAAACTTGCAAATAAAGCCTGCAAGTTTGGCAATGTAAAGGTTATATATGATACAGGCTAATATGTATGTTTCTACATGTTAACTTCCAGGTATATATTATTCTCCAGAAGTTCTACTTCAACTGGTTCATAGATAAGTAGATACTCACAGTTCAAATGCTTATGTTAACATGGCTTGACAGTGAGCTAATTCAAATTGGTAGATAATAAGTATAAAGATGCCCTTAAGGTTGGTGACACGTCTTTATTCCAATTGTTAGCCAATCAAGATAATATTTTTTTCAATCCATTTTTCTTTTATTTAAAGAAAAAGAAACAAACAAAAAAAAATACATGGAGATAAAAAAGGGTAGAAATAATACAGAATTACAGAAAAATAAATGGTAAGAAATCACCAGTTGATAAGTTACATATTGTCATCTTAGAAATAGCTGTTCAGGTTACAGTATTAAAGTATGTAAAATGACATTCAAATACTGACACTGCCAACACTTCTGCTCAATGATCTAACAAAAACTTAGTAATATGGTTATCAGTCCTACACACTTGTTTTATATCTTAAAGAGGGTAAGATTAAACATATCAAAACAGTTAAAAAAAAAAAAAAAAACAATTTAAAGGGGCTGGGGGTTTAGCTCAGCGGCATAAATGCCTGCCTTGAAAGCAGGCAGTCATGAGTTCGATCCCCGGTACTGACAAAAAGGAAAAAGACCAGAAAAAAAAAAAAAAAACAATTTAAAGACATACAGATTTTTTTTTTTTTTTTTTTTTTAGAAATACAGATTTCAAAGCGAGTCCACTGGAGATCTTCACTGTCTATCTAATTGTCTCTAGTTTCTTTCAAATAGTTGTCCCCCTCTTCACACACATTAAATACATACAGCATATTATAGAACTAATCAGATCATTACAGGATGATGAAGGCTTTTTAGGTCTTCAAGATCTGACACTGGGGAAGACAATAATAACTACCATCACATTTCCTCATTCTCTTGGTAGTAGCTGTCCTTATCTTTACATATGCTGATATTGAACTTAAGAGACTAGACTAATATCACTCTGATCAGTGAATAATAGTATTGCTGGATTTTATATCATAATACTACAAAATTAGCATTGGGTTTCTTAGTGTCTCTTCTTCTTTAGAGTATCTGTTCATTACATACTATATTATATAATCTGTGCCCGTAAATAGTTTTTTAAAAGAATCTTCTCATGCGTGAATTTCTACATGTATATCTATCCTCTCTGTATTATAGGGGAAAACAAATCGTAACAAGACAGCAAAACAAATTCCTAGAAAAACATGCAGTGAAAAAGACACATAAGACCACAATATTAGGTGATCTACCGTAGTTACTGTGCTTTCTCTTGGTATTTTGCATAGTCTTGTCCACATCATCGGACTTAATATAGTTGAACATAGTATTACCTAGCTATTTTTATAATAACACAACTTTGAAAACATTGTAGGACTTGAGAGCTGTTAATAATTAATACTGGTATGGGTATCTTTTACATCATGTCATCTTCAGAGTAGTTGCCTCTACTTTTAGGGTTGATACTATCAAGCATATCAAATTCAAATAAAATCAGCCAAGGCAAAACCACGGTCTTATGAATCAGATTCAAATAAGATCAGTCATAGTAAGACAATATAAGTAGTACAGGATTTCAGCTCAAGTTAATAGGAAATTAAGGATAGTTACCATGGTATAACCTGCTATGTTTGGGTCAGATCCAATATGAGTGGACAGACCAGAACAAATTAAATTCACACTAAACAGGGCGATAAGACTACTGTGACTTTTAAATCCTGATACACTATTAACAATGACCTCTGCCTTTTTTTGTAGTGTATCAAAGCTATCTATGCTAAAGTCTTTAGCTTACCGTCTCTGCCTCATGTCTGCTACTCCACATTACTGCTATAATTTGTCCACCTTACTCCCTCTTTCCACTGTCTGCCCCGTTCATTGAGGCCTCTCTGCCACTGTTGCTGGAATGCTGGTATCCCTTCTCCTCTTTCTCTGGAATGTCCTTCAGCACTCTCTGTAGGGTTGGGTTGGTGTCCACGAACTCCCACAGTTCCTCCTTGTCTTGGAAGCATCTTATTCTCCATTAATTTTCAGAGAGAGTTTTGATGGGTATATGAATCTTGGTTGCATAAGGATAATATTTTTTTAAAAAAAGTTTTATAGACTCGATTTCCAGGAAGATGGCAGAGTGCATCTTCCTGGCAGCAACAGATCAGCCTCTCCAAGATTTGGAATCCAGAAATTGGAAGATAACTCCTTGGGGAAGAAAAGAACATTGCGTCCTGCATTGCATCCTGGGACGCAATGATGGGAACACTGGAGCTTACTGAGAAACTGAAGAGTAAGATCACAACAATGCAGAAAAAGGAAGGGGAAATCTGCACTTTCTCCCTAGCTCCTGGCTTGCAGCTCATGAGAAAAGAAGATTAAATCTACAGAGACACAGTGGGTGACTCCAGAGGCCCTCAGGGAGTCAGGCACGGTGGTCTATACCTATAATCCCAGCACTGAGGCAGGAGGATCGCTGTGAGTTCAGGGCCAGCATGGGCTACATAATAAGACCCTGTCTCAAAAAGACAAAACCAAAACCAAACCAAAACAAAAACCTAGGTCTTCAGGGAAAAACACACACTGGAAAAGAGCAGTGAATGCTGTGTGCTACAGTAACTGGTGAGCCACTGACTCTAATTGGAATGAAAGAGAATGCCCAGCTAGTCCTGGAGGTTTCAGATAAACCCATACAACTGATGGGGAGTACAAAGATAAGTACCACAAACTTTCTGCTTAGAACCACCACCTAGATTTACAAGGCAGAGACACAGGAAGAAAATCACAACAGTGTAAGGAAACACGGGGTCTACGTAGGGAAAAATTAAAAACTAATAGGGAAAGCTGGGTGTGGTGGTACACACCTGTAATTCCAGCACTGGGAGGCTGAGGCAGGAGGATCAATGAAAGTTTCAGACCAGCCTGGGCTACAAAGTGAGGTCAAGGCCAGCCTCAACTACATAGTAAGACCCTGTTCAAAAAGACAAAACAAGCAAACAAACAAAACCCAAAAAGTAATAAAGAAACTTTCTAAAAGCAGATTCTGCCTTGCTTACAGGTAGATTCTCTAGAGTTAGAGCAACTGGACAAAAGAGAGAAACTAGACTGAGAGAGGTACCAGGTAGTACTATTACCATAGAATTTATCTACAAAAGTTAACAAAACATGAAATTAGAAACATAAAACTCAGGAAAACCGGCCTTCCTCACTTACCTGATAAATGCAGAGGAGATAAGGGGCAGCAATCTGAAAACTCTTTTTTAAAATTTTATTTATTTATTTATTTTTTATCAGTACCAGGGATCAAACTCATGACCGCCTGCTTGGAATGCAGGTGCTTATGCCACTGAGCTAAATCCCCAGCCCCAAAACTCTTAATTGATATGTAAGACATGCATGGTGCTTGCATGCACACACACAAAACCACACATACATATGTATGCATGCTCTGAACTTTAACATCACTTTATTATTGCACCAGATAAACATATTCCTTCTACTTAATCATTAAATCTAAGCTACCTTCCTATAAACTGCCTTCCACTCCCTTGTAATCCATCACAAAGGGACAGGAAGAAATCAAAAGGCTAGAAAGACAGTAGGCAGGCCCAGGTTAAGATCAAAGACAGCCAATCAGATGGCAACAACTTCCAGGTGACCATAGAAGGGCTAGGAAAATCATTAGTTCTAAATAAAAGAAGCCAGGGATAAGAGCTCAGGAGCATTCACTTTTAATGTCCTCTACTTTCCTAGGGTAGCTATCTTCTTTTTTGTCTTTTCCCAAATAATCTGTCTTCTTTTATTCTAAACTCTTCTTCTTGAGTTCATTACTGAAACTGAGAGCTTACAATTCTAGCAGCTGTGTGTTCCAGATGAGGAGCAGTGCAGATGAGGAGCAGTGGGTATATCCCACCTTCCCACAGTAAATGTGGCAGACAGATGAACTACAGGTAGTGCATCTCGGGCTGGGAGACCACTCCCCCTCTACCCACTTGAATCTGGGCAACACTCCCAGGCACAATCCTCCTTCCACTGCTCTGAGAGAAGCACAAAATAAAGTAACAAATACACAATAGCCTGGAATCTATCTGTCAGAGCTACCACATGGATGAGATGCAGTGAGCAAATAGATGTGATCCATCAGGCAAAATGCAGGAGGACATTTCTAGGGTAGCCATCTGCTAGAAACCTTCCTACCAGATTGGCTTCCATGTAGCTGAGCTTGGCTCTGACCTCAGGAGAGTACACCACTGAACAGCAATGCTAAAGGAAAAAGAAGGCAAGCTTTTTCTGTGTTCTGCTTGGGCCTTTAAAAGGCTTGCTGTCTCCACTGCAGCCAAGGCTTCCGTGGGCAGTCTTAAAACAAATAATGTGTTCCAAACATTTATAAGGGTTCCTTAAAACAAAATCTGTCTTACCTGCCCCAAATCTCCAAATGTTCCTTTTGGGGACTGCTAACAGAGTTTCTCTTTTCTCTTTAGTAGTGCTAGGGATTGAACACAGTGCCTCAAGCATACATTCTGTCACTGGACTACACTCTCAGTCCCCTAACAAAATTTCTGTCAGTACTCAAGTGGGGCAAGTGTGCTATGCTATATCACTCACCAACTTAATCTCAGCAACCTGACTTTGAGTTATACTTACTAGTAACAGGCAAAGCTCTTCCAGTGGTTTTTCTGTTTTGTTTTGTTTGTTTGTTTTTGCTTTTTGAGACTAGGTTTTGCTCTGCAGTTCAGGCTGGCCTTGGCCTTGAATGCAGCCTCCCGAATGCAGGGATGTGGACCACCATGCCCAATACTTCCAGTTACTTTCAAACACATAGTTTTTTGTTTTTGTTTTTGTGGTCCTTTTCACTGAGCTGTATCTCTAGTCCTTTTTCAGATTTTATTGTGAGTCAGGGTCTTGCTAAATTACTAAATTGTCCAATTGCTAAATTACTAATTGTCCAACTTAGGAGTCCTGCTGCCTCTGGATCTGAGTGCTAGAATTACAGGTGTGCTTCACAATGCCTGGTTTTTTTCTTTCTTTTCTTCTTTCTCCATTTCTTCCTCCACTCCCTCCTTCCCTTCCTTTTTTCTATTTTTGTGGTACTGGAGATTAAACCCAGTCATACCACCTAGCCAAATGATCTACCACTGAGCCACATCCTAGCCTAAAACTTTTTTTTCACATTTGCTTTTTAAAGTAATATTTAATAAAAATGTCTACTGAGTGCTAATTATGTGTCCAGGGACTGCTGCAAGTGTTGGAATTATAATAGTGAAAAAACAGGTTTGAAAAATTCTTGAACTGGGTGTGGTGGCACCAGCCTGTAACTCCAGCACTCTGGGAAGCTGAGGCAGGAGGATTTCAAGTTCAAGCCCAGTTTGGGTAATTTAGTGAGATCCGGTCTCAAAAATAAAAATAAAGGGACTGGAGAGATGTAGCTTAATATAAAGGCCTCAGTATAAAGGGTTCAATCTTCAGGGTTTGTTTTTTTTTTTTAAATAAAAGTAGTATAATTTGCAGATGTTGCCCTGTGTCTGTGGGAGATTGGTTCCAAGACCCCCATAAATTCCCAAATCCACCAATGCTCAAGTACCTTATATAAAATGGCATAGTAGGTTTTACACAAAACCTACACACATCTTCCCATAAACTTTACGTAACTGTTAAGAGTGCTCTGTAAATAGTCATGCACTGCACATAATTTGAACAATAGTGGACCACATATTAGGAAGTTATGCACCACCTAATCTAGTCTTGGTATAGTGTACTATGGCTTTCAGGTTTACTTAAGCAAACTATGCAACAACAAAACTACGTAACAACACACTGCTTATCTCCTTAAGTGATACATGCTGGTAGTTGTTAGGCTGTATTTTTAGGGAATGACAAGGAATTCTGTACATATTCAATACAGAACCGATACTTATTTTCTTTAAATCTGGTACCTGCACCTGAGTGGCTGACTTGAATCCCGGATGCAGAGCACTGGGGAAAGGGAGAGCAGAGGTAATAATCCCCGAGCACTAACGCGTTGCTCCACCTGCTTTGTCAACATTAATTAATTTTTTAAAAAATGTTGGTAACGAAGAATTGAACTCTCTTGCTAAGGAGGCGCTGCACCAGCTGAGCTGCATTCTCGGCAACATTAATTTATTTAAACATGAGAAAAGGAACAACACTCAAGGAAGGGAAAAATATACGGAGAGTTCTTTAAAATACCCACCAACGCACCCACTCTGGGCAGATACTGCGTGTATCAGCAGCGGTCACGTGGTAGAAGGCGCTTGGAGAAGTCTTCCCAGGAGTGCAGCCCTGGCAGCGCAGGGTTTTTCTAGTTTAGAAGCGAAACGCATTTTGTAGCTTTGAAAGGTAAACTGATTTGAAAAGTGATGCTACTGGGAGAAGCTGGTCAAAAGCCAGGAGCCAGTACACTGGCCTACCAAGGGTGTACAAGGCTTGTACTGTGCACAAACTACCAAACAAGGCAGAGGAGGGAATCGTCAATCCACCTTTAAAAACACTCCCGAGGAACAAAGCCAACCACACCCCTCAGCAATATACAGCACTGAAGCAAGAGACTGATTTCTTTCCAGTGTCACGCTGGCCGCAGCACGCACGCGCGCGGCGCATGCGCGCACCTGTGGGAGTGTTGCTCCGCGCAGGGTGGCCGCGGGTCTGACAGTGTAAACACTCACCGTGTCGTTATCCACGTCCCCGAGGCAGATTGCGTGTGGGAAGAGGCTCCCACTAAACTCCATCGCTGTGCGCTGAACATAGCTAACTGACCTCATGGCATTTCCAGGGTCGAGAAACAGATAAGTCCTGCGAAATGTCCCCAAAGCACTACCCGACCCCACGCCGGCGGAAGGAACCCGAAAGCGGAAAGTTACATCACAGCTTGACCCTCTAACCCCATCCTTGCTGCATCTATCCCCGCGGAGAGGCGGGACTTCCGGCTCTTGATGTGAGTGACCGGGCGACGGACCGCTCCTGTTGATCAGGGGTGTGGCGCGGGGCGAGCTAAGCCTGGTGCGGCGCTTCAGTGTCTTCGGCGCGGGTTGCTTAGTGCTTGGTCTCTTGTATGGCTTTGGCCATGAGGGCCTAAGTTTCAGATTCGTAATAACAGTAATCGTAATAACCAGCAACAATATGGTTTCTAGCGGTTGTTTTCTTTTTGGGGTAGTAGTGTTTAGAAACAGTGTCGCATGCGTACCTGAGGCCGGCTAGGAACTCTTGTGTAGACTAGACTGAGCTCGAATTTCTGCTTCAGCCTCGAGTATTGAGGTTAGTATACAGGCATGTGCCAGTATGTCAGAATCCAGCCGTGTTTTTAAATAAAACTAGCCACCCATTAGGACTTGTTAAAACAATGCGCATTGCAACTATCATTTAAAAAAGAAAAAAGAGGGGTACTGACGCTTTGGCTCAGCGGTCTGCCTGGCAAGTGCAATGTTATAAGTTCGATCTCTGGTACCAAAAAAAGAAAAACACAAAAAAACAGGAAAGTTCAAGTGACTCCTCTTGAAGAAGTATGGACTTTGTGGCGGTTTTATTTCATATATATATAGTCCCTGCCCCCGCAATGGTCAATAGTTTAAAACCATCTGCTACATTCCACCTATATTTCTTCACAAAATTAGCACAACAATGTCAAGTTGGATAGTTACCTGTGTCTGCAGATGAGGAAAACAGGTTCAGCAGGGTTAAGACATTTGGCCAAAGGTGTTGCAGGCGGGACTATTAAATTAGATCCAAACCCCCAGGACTAGTTTTTTGTTTTTGTTTTTGTTTTTTTAATCACTTATTTCCTGGTTCCTGGGAAAGTTCTTAGGCTGGAAATGAAGCTCACTGGGATTCTAGACCCACTTTGCTTTGCAGACAACCTCCATTTTAAAACAAATACAAAGCTTCTACCTCTCTTCCCCAGTCGGTTTACTCTGTAGTGTGCATGGGACCATTACTCTCACTTTGCCCGTTGAATCCTGCCCTCCCTTTCTTTGGGGTACCTGATAAATCAGGGCAGTAAGAGTATTTAAGAAACCCTACAGATGCTCAATATATATTTAAGTTTGTAAGCCTAGGTTGATTTAATAACTTGGTCTTTCAGCAAAAATAAAATTACCACACATGAAGAGGTTAGACCAGGGATAGCTCTACTTTTTGTCTGAATGTAGTGGGAGAAGGCTGAAGGAGTAGGACCTTTTTACCTGAGAGAGGGGGAGGAGGATGGCACATGTGGTCCTAGAAGTCTCAATGGATCTGTTACATAAGGTGAGAAGGAACATCAGGTCAGGACAGGAAGCAGTCTAGATTTACTGGGTCTAGACAGTAGATCTAAAGGCTACACCGTTATCAGTCCTTGCTTCTGGTGGTGTACTGTAGGCTGCCCAGGTCCACTCAAAGGCTTGGGTTACCCAGTTCTTCATAGTGTTTTTTAAATGTACTATCTCATTCATGATGGGTTTTATATGACTGCATCTAATAATCTTCATATCTCTTCTCTCATCCTAGCTTAAACTCTGGGTTTCCTGTTGTGGCAAAATAGTGAGACAAATTCATGGAGGCCAAAAATGGATACAAACAAACTTTATTGCCAGTGAGGAAGTCCCAGCAAAGTGAGGAGCTTCCACCCTGAGGAGAGGAAAATAGCAGCTTATATAAAGTTAGTCCAGTTTCTAAAAATAACAGGAACTTTCCAGGGAGATGGTACACAGATTTCATTCAATCATATGATCATATGACAAACCAAAGGGTGATTTTTTTTTTTTTTTGGTAATCGAGAACCAAACTCATGACCTCATGCTTGACAGGCATGTGCAGTGCCACTGAGTTAAATCCCGGCCCTATGTGATGATTTTGATTAGTTAGGCATTTCAACATTTACAAGAAAAAAACTCAAGGAAACAGAAACGTAAACCTAAAATGGTGCATGTTAACAAGATGGCATCGGGGCTGGGGATTTAACTCAGTGGCTTAAGTGCCTGCCTTGCAAGCGGGCAGTCATGAGTTCAATCCCTGGTACTGATAAAAAATAAAAAAGTTAAAAAAAATTTAAAATAAAAAAATTTTAAAAACAAGATGGCATCAGCTTTGCTGTTTTTTTCCTGCATCACTATTAGTTTTTGAGGAATATCAATATAAAAACATTAAACTATTTACCTCTAAATATAATATTCACTTGTTTTGTTGTATTGTTTCTCCACTTTTTTTAGTCCTCTAAATGAAATTGCAAAATAAAAATATTAATAAATAATCCTTAGGACATAAATAGATGAGGATCATTATGCTTCTGTCACTAAGTGCCCTGGCCTGACCCAACACTGAAATCATTCCCTGATCTTGCACTCCACCAAGTCTGTTTTCTCTTCTTCATTTAGATTTCTTGTTTTTAAGAACAGGAAGAAATCCAGTGCAGTTCCTTCTAAATTTGAGAGTGTTTAATCAGGAGCCATATTGGGAAGGGGTTAGAGATTGAGCTGCAGAAGCCAGGTGTGATGGCACATGCCTGTAATTCCTGCACTTAGTAGGCTCAAGCAGAATGCGCTCAAGTAGGCTCAAGCTCCAAATTATCCAAAACTTGAATTACATAAGGAAACCTTATTTTTAAAAAGGCTATTGAATACAGACCAATTATACTTCAGGGTTTCTGGGGTCACTACCAGTGATAGTGGGGAGAGTCCACAAAAGACAATCATTGAGATGTTGCAGGCTAGGTATAGGCCTCCTGAGAAGTTTAAGCTCAGGCTGGAAAAGGCATGAGGGTCCTGCCCATGTCCAACTTGAAAAACCAGCTCTTTGTATGTGGGTTTTAGAAGGGATTGGGTCTAAAAGGGCTGGCACTAAGTCCATTGAACTGCTTGATAGCCTCTAATCTGCTGTCTAGATCCAGAACAAAATGAAGTGGTGTATTTGCTCTCTCCAGCTGCCAACATGATCAGGGATATGCCTATGCTTGGATAGTTGACATAGTCTAAGATATATGTACAGCAGAGCCTCTGGAGCATGCAGGGGTTAGGAGGAATGCACCTCACACATTTGCAGGCTGTAAGCTAGTACTGGCTTTGAGTACACAGAGCAGGAGAATGGGAGTAGTTGGGTGAACATGGCCTAGGGAAGACACAACTGACCAGCCACACCCAACAGGAAAAGTGGGGCAGGACTCAGCATTCATGTGTGAAAACAAGAAAAACATTTTTTTTTGTTGTTGGTCTTAAAAATGAAGCCGAAGATAAAACTAAAGCTTGGTGGAGTGCAAGGTCAGGGAATGACTTCAGAGTTGGGTCAGGCCAGGGTACTTGGTGACAAAAACAAAGTGATCCTCATGTATTTTGGTAGAAATTAGTGACTATTCCCTTTTCCATATCTGGTGGATTCCAGTACTGCTGATCTTGGAAAGGAAGCACTCATTCAAAAACACCAAGGAATTTTTTGGACTCATTACTTCTTGTTTTGGATGGGAGTGGATTTTTTTAAATTTTTATTTTAAAGAATAAAATCAAGCAAATAAATCAGAAGGCAATCAAAACAAACCAGCATAAGTGACATGGACTTCAAAACAATAGGAAATCAGTGGTTACCATAATGCCTTTTACTGTCTTCAAAATAGCTGAAGATACCTTCAAACTTAGTAAAAATCAAACAAAACAGAGCAGAACCAATAAAAACAAAACAAGTCAATCAAAGCAAGATAAAAGTAAATCCAAAATGGCTACCATAATATATCTTATCTTTGAAATAGCTGTTCATGCCATCAGATATAATAAAATCAAACAAAACAAAACAGATTAAAACCCAGCCCAACAAAACAATGAAAATGATACAGGACTTCAAAACAAGATCATAGGGAATTAACAATGGCTATACCCTCTGGAGATTCCCCCATAGATGCTATACTGCATATTGTTATCCTCTGAATAGATGATCAGACTACTACTGGCTTTAGACCTGCAAAGTGAGTGAAATGCTCAACCCTACAAGCATGACATTGTATTTCACATCACTAGCTACCATCTCAGCCTGTGTTTCTCTTGATCAGTCAGTCACATATGGAAATGGTGATTGGCTCTTTGTTTCCCAGCCCGTGCGCCAAAAGGGGCTGGCAGCTGGCTGTCCCTTCAGCACCCCACCCATGGCACTGATTCACAGGGAAGGCTTGTTTCTCAGTGACTTATTCTCTTCTCCCACAGTGTGTGTATGGTGCTAACTCATGGGAAAAGACTAGTGTCTTGCTATCCCCCTAGTGGCCTGCACAAGGCGCTGATTCACAGAGAGAGCTTCCTTCTTGGTGACTTCTTGTTTGCTTTAGTTTTAGATTTTTTTTTTATTTCCTTTCTGTTAGTTTTATCTAATTCTATTTCTTTATTAATAGGATTCTTTATCTCACTTTTCTTGTTTCCCTTTAGTTTTCAAATTTCATTATTTTCCTTTTTCTCTCCTGTTTATTTATTTTTTTGAGACAAGATCTTACTATGTAGTACATACTGGCCTTAAACTTGTTTACTTTGCCCAGGCTGCCCTCCAACTCATAGGGATTCTCCTGCCTCAGTTTCCCAAATGCTGAGATTACAGGCATGTGCCACTATGCCCAGCCCAACCCATTTTTATTAGTATTACTAGAAAACTCTTATTAATCTTTAGGTATTTAGTTGACTCTGCTATCATTTTGAATTCTATTGCAAATGATGGCATAGTTGTTGTATTATTTTCTGTATATCAATAGTTGCTTTCTTCCTGTTTATATTATCATTGTAGATATATTTTTTTAATTTTTTTTTGTCTTTTTCATTTTTATCAGTACCAGGGATCGAACTCACAACTGCCTGCTTGCAAGGCAGGTACTTATGCCGCTGAGCTAAATCCCCAGCCCCA